ATTTATACATTTTTGACAATCTCACCATAAACAGAAACATTTTCAGCTTCATAAACACAAATGTTAAGGCAGAAGTGTTGCACTGAAGTGCATACAGATTTACAGGTGATCATAATGTTGTGTCTGATCGGTGTAATGGTTCTGTTACAGAAAAACGTCTCCACACCTCTGGGAGGGTTCAAAGTCCTACACACTTTACAGCAAAATGTTTACAGCAGGATGTTAACATAGGACAGGGGCATTATTTATCCAGCAATCTAGCTGAAAGATTGGACTGAACTGAATAGGCTACAATGCTGTAAATGCCATTTTAATGTGTACACAGCTTCCAAGCTGACCAGTATAATTCCAGCCTTGGCTGTAGCAAACTGGAAAAGTATCCATTCATATATGTTGGGTGCCCATACTCCCAGTCGGTCGCCTTGCTTCAGGCCCAGAGCAAGAAGACCTGCAGCCACCTTGTCTACCTGCACCAGAATAAAGATCACAAAAATATTAGACAGTTCTCCACCAAGTGCAGAGTGTAAATTATTAATGATATTCTACAGCCCATAATGTGCCTGGCAGATGTGGCTGAGACTCTGTTTAATTTCCTTTTCCAATGCCCAAATTAGTGCTAGAGAGAATTCTTCCTACTTATTTCATCTGAAAACTGGAACAAAACAGCCAAAAGTCATATCATCAAACTACGTTTGATAGGAAATGCCACACTAATAGCTTTAACAAGATTCACTTTGTGTCACAGGACTACCACATTTCTTGCTGTATCAAAAGGTCATTAACCTACAAAATTAACACTGAAAGAAAGTGTACAAACCCTTTTAACATACGTAGCTGTGTTCTGACAAGCTGAGCTCACTAATTATTGTACGGGTAAATAACCGGACAGGTTTGCTATACACTGTATTGCATTTCAGTTATTCCTGTAATTATTTAGTTTCTGCTGGGCTGGAGGGGCAGTCAATCCAAAAAACAAATCAACTGAAGAGCAAAGTAAAGTCTGAGACGTACATCTTCCTGAAACTGTGCAAAGGTTTTCCGAACTCCCTCCTCTGGGCAGACCACAGCTTCACGGTCAGGCCAGAGCTTGACTGTGGTTTCCAGGCTCTGACCCACAGTCATGGGGAGCAGAGAGAAGGAGGAGGTGCCATGGACGTAGCTGGTGGTCAGAGAGGGTTTTAGAGGAGCACTGTCCACATGAAGTGACCTGGCAATGAGAACAAAGTTCAGAAAGAAAAAAAAAGAACAAGGTCAAATGTAGCACATACACCATGATCAGAGCATTTTAACAAGCTGCAGATTTAAAGATAATGAAGAAAATGACCATTCATAATATAATATTCCTCTACGCTCCTGAATATTGAGGCTGTTCGATCCTTGTATAGGCCTAAAAAAACAGAGAAAAACTAGTACCATGCCAATAAAATCAGGCGTAGTATCAGTCTTAACGCCAAGAAAAATCAAAGCAAGCAACTTTTTAAAGCAAGGGTTATGACCAGGGATTATTAACTGTCCCACACATACTGTACATGGTCTCTATGGAAAACCACTGCAAAGGTCTTGGTTTTGGAAGCCATTAACGTTACACATGTGACGAGGAGAATTTATTTTCAGAAAATGCTTAATCATTGTTAGAGACAAACAGAACAAATATGGTGCAGTAAATGTCAGTAACCCAGTAAACAGCACATGAGAACAACAAGCATTCACAGTCATTCTGTAGGTGGCTAAGGTCTTAGAGAATCGTTGTTTAATTTGACTATCTCTGGTCAAAAAGAAGAGGAACCCAGTGAGACACTGACTCTGTGGCTGTAATACAAGTGTTAAAATAAACTGTGATCAATCAACAAATGTTGTGTAGATGTAGGCACTTCCAGGTTAGGCAATGTCAGATCTTTGTACAAGATGATACTGATAAATTTTCAAATCATTTAATGTCTCGCAAAGATCATTGTTACTTGATTTATTTATATTTATTGTAAGGAATTACAGACTTCAGTGGGACACAAATCACCATTATTGACCACTGAATTTGAGGAGCACAGACTTACCGGCACCACTGGAACAAGTTTGTGTTGCATGATCTCCAGGTCTGCCTGTGTTTGGATCCATCCACAGATCTGAGACTGCGAGCACAGGACCTTAGCAGTGGGGAACAAATCAGTGCCGCCATAGATATCACACAGTCTGTCTGTCTCGACTTTAACTAAAATCAGTCTTGAATATATCTGGTTAGAAGATACTGAGCCTTAACAAGCACAGAGCAAATACATGTGGTGGTTCTTATTTGCCTATTTATACTTTGCCTGGATTTCATCATTACATGTGTAATATTTAACTTCCAAGAGAGGAAGAAGATTCTTTTAACTTTGGCCATTTTAAGTGCCTTTCATCAGATTTTAAGATAATTAATTTTAAAGTTGCTCTTTCACACACATAATCTCAGTAACACACAACACAAACTGTACTTGTGGTGACAGGGATGTTTTGTTAACTGCCACCATATGTGAATAAATTTTTTTTGTGCACAGGTGTCATTTCTTTACTTTCATTGCGACGCACAAGTAGCTAGAGAAATTTAAATGCAGCAATACTACATCTGAAAGTTTTTCAGATAGAAACTGGTTCTTTTTTATACTTTAAGAAAGGTGCATGCACCTCTCCTAAACAAACTTCTTTGCATCACGTGTGTAAGCCAAGGAGTGAAACTAATAGAGTAAAAAGATTAGAGCTGTCGCACTGATTTAATGCTCCACAAAACTAGTTCTATTCAGGTCAAGCTACTACGCCAATGAGTCTTTATCAGGTATCTACAGCTTGGACTCTGACCTGACATAAAAATAATCTCTTTCAAATTGATTTCAGGTGCGACACCACACCTAGACCAATCAGCACAAAAACAGCATGACCCAAATTTTCTCACACACAACAAATTAACTCATCACACCAGAGACGTTATAGGGTGCTGATGAAGCAG